TGTAACCCCTTGCCATTTTGACGATTTTGGTGAAAATTTAGATTTTCTGTTTTTTAATGCCGATCGATAGTACTGATCCTTACGAGTCCAAAATGGTATAAAATTCAAAAATCGGACAGTATTTGGCCGAAATATTCCAAAAAACCATCAAGAAAGGTTGACTTTACAAACGAATCGTTTTTTGGTCCATAACTTTTTTTAGCCCATCGATTTTTAAAATGTTTAAATGCCAATTGATAGTAGGGATCCGTACGAATTTAAAAAGGTATAACATTTAAAAATCAGACGTTATTTGCCCAAGATATTCAAAAAAAATCATCAAAAAAGTTTTGTTTTTTGAACCGACTCCGATTTTAAGAAAAAACGTGATGTAACCCCTTGCCATTTTGACGATTTTGGTGAAAATTTAGATTTTCTGTTTTTTAATGCCGATCGATAGTACTGATCCTTACGAGTCCAAAATGGTATAAAATTCAAAAATCGGACAGTATTTGGCCGAAATATTCCAAAAAACCATCAAGAAAGGTTGACTTTACAAACGAATCGTTTTTTGGTCCATAACTTTTTTTAGCCCATCGATTTTTAAAATGTTTAAATGCCAATTGATAGTAGGGATCCGTACGAATTTAAAAAGGTATAACATTTAAAAATCAGACGTTATTTGCCCAAGATATTCAAAAAAAATCATCAAAAAAGTTTTGTTTTTTGAACCGACTCCGATTTTAAGAAAAAACGTGATGTAACCCCTTGCCATTTTGACGATTTTGGTGAAAATTTAGATTTTCTGTTTTTTAATGCCGATCGATAGTACTGATCCTTACGAGTCCAAAATGGTATAAAATTCAAAAATCAGGACAGTATTTGGCCGAAATATTCAAAAAGAATCAAATTTAACCATCAAGAAAGGTTGACTTTACAAACGAATCGTTTTTTGGTCCATAACTTTTTTTAACCCATCGATTTTTAAAATGTTTAAATGCCAATTGATAGTAGGGATCCGTACGAATTTAAAAAGGTATAACATTTAAAAATCAGACGTTATTTGCCCAAGATATTCAAAAAAAATCATCAAAAAAGTTTTGTTTTTTGAACCGACTCCGATTTTAAGAAAAAACGTGATGTAACCCCTTGCCATTTTGACGATTTTGGTGAAAATTTAGATTTTCTGTTTTTTAATGCCGATCGATAGTACTGATCCTTACGAGTCCAAAATGGTATAAAATTCAAAAATCGGACAGTATTTGGCCGAAATATTCCAAAAAACCATCAAGAAAGGTTGACTTTACAAACGAATCGTTTTTTGGTCCATAACTTTTTTTAACCCATCGATTTTTAAAATGTTTAAATGCCAATTGATAGTAGGGATCCGTACGAATTTAAAAAGGTATAACATTTAAAAATCAGACGTTATTTGCCCAAGATATTCAAAAAAAATCATCAAAAAAGTTTTGTTTTTTGAACCGACTCCGATTTTTAAAATACGACTCCGATTTTAAGAAAACATCGTGATGTAACCCCTTGCCATTTTGACGATTTTGGTGAAAATTTAGATTTTCAGTTTTTTAATGCCGATCGATAGTACTGATCCTTACGAGTCCAAAATGGTATAAAATTCAAAAATCGGACAGTATTTGGCCGAAATATTTCAAAAAACCATCAAGAAAGGTTGACTTTACAAACGAATCGTTTTTTGGTCCATAACTTTTTTTAGCCCATCGATTTTTAAAATGTTTAAATGCCAATTGATAGTAGGGATCCGTACGAATTTAAAAAGGTATAACATTTAAAAATCAGACGTTATTTGCCCAAGATATTCAAAAAAAATCATCAAAAAAGTTTTGTTTTTTGAACCGACTCCGATTTTAAGAAAAAACGTGATGTAACCCCTTGCCATTTTGACGATTTTGGTGAAAATTTAGATTTTCGGTTTTTTAATGCCGATCGATAGTACTGATCCTTACGAGTCCAAAATGGTATAAAATTCAAAAATCGGACAGTATTTGGCCGAAATATTCCAAAAAACCATCAAGAAAGGTTGACTTTACAAACGAATCGTTTTTTGGTCCATAACTTTTTTTAGCCCATCGATTTTTAAAATGTTTAAATGCCAATTGATAGTAGGGATCCGTACGAATTTAAAAAGGTATAACATTTAAAAATCAGACGTTATTTGCCCAAGATATTCAAAAAAAATCATCAAAAAAGTTTTGTTTTTTGAACCGACTCCGATTTTAAGAAAACACGTGATGTAACCCCTTGCCATTTTGACGATTTTGGTGAAAATTTAGATTTTCAGTTTTTTAATGCCGATCGATAGTACTGATCCTTACGAGTCCAAAATGGTATAAAATTCAAAAATCGGACAGTATTTGGCCGAAATATTTCAAAAAACCATCAAGAAAGGTTGACTTTACAAACGAATCGTTTTTTGGTCCATAACTTTTTTTAGCCCATCGATTTTTAAAATGTTTAAATGCCAATTGATAGTAGGGATCCGTACGAATTTAAAAAGGTATAACATTTAAAAATCAGACGTTATTTGCCCAAGATATTCAAAAAACATCAAAAAGTTGTTTACCGATCGTTTTTGGTAATCATCAACAAAAGTTCTTGTTTTATGAACCGACTCCGATTTTAAGAAAAAACGTGATGTAACCCCTTGCCATTTTGTCGATTTTGGTGAAAATTTAGATTTTCTGTTTTTTGATGCCGATCGATAGTACTGATCCTTACGAGTCCAAAATGGTATAAAATTCAAAAATCGGACAGTATTTGGCCGAAATATTCCAAAAAACCATCAAGAAAGGTTGACTTTACAAACGAATCGTTTTTTGGTCCATAACTTTTTTTAACCCATCGATTTTTGAAATGTTTAAATGCCAATTGATAGTAGGATCCGTACGAATTTAAAAAGGTATAACATTTAAAAATCAGACGTTATTTGCCCAAGATATTCAAAAAAAATCATCAAAAAGTTTTGTTTTTTGAACCGACTCCGATTTTAAGGAAAAACGTGATTACGCCATTTTGACGATTTTGGTGAAAATTTAGATTTTCAGTTTTTTAATGTCGATCGATAGTACTGATCCTTACGAGTCCAAAATTGATATAGGACGTACGATTTAAAAAGTATAACATAAAATCGAGTTATCCAAGATATTCAAAAAAAATCATCAAAAAAGTTTTGTTTATTAAACCGACTCCGATTTTAAGAAAAAACGTTATGTAACCCCTTGCCATTTTGACGATTCTGGTGAAAATTTAGATTTTCAGTTTTTTAATGCCGATCGATAGTACTGATCTTTACGAGTCCAAAATGGTATAAAATTCAAAAATCGGACAGTATTTGGCCGAAATATTCCAAAAAAACCATCAAGAAAGGTTGACTTTACAAACGAATCGTTTTAAGGTCCATAACTTTAGCCCATCGATTTTTAAAATGTTTAAATGCCAATTGATAGTAGGGATTCGTACGAATTTAAAAAGTTATAACATTTAAAAATCAGACGTTATTTGCCCAAGATATTCAAAAAATCATCAAAAAAGTTTTGTTTTTTGAACCAACTCCGATTTTTAGAAAAAACGTGCCATTTTGACGATTTTGGTGAAAATTTAGATTTTCAGTTTTTTAATGTCGATCGATAGTACTGATCCTTACGAGTCCAAAATGGTATAAAATTCAAAAATCGGACAGTATTTGCCGAAATATTCCAAAAAACCATCAAGAAAGGTTGACTTTACAAACGAATCGTTTTTTGGTCCATAACTCTTTTTAACCCGTCGATTTTTAAGATGTTTAAATGCCAATTGATAGTAGGGATTCGTACGAATTTAAAAAGGTATAACATTTAAAAATCAGACGTTATTTGCCCAAGATATTCAAAAAAAATCATCAAAAAAGTTTTGTTTTTTGAACCGACTCCGATTTTAAGAAAAAACGTGTCGCCATGCCATTTTGACGATTTTGGTGAAAATTTAGATTTTCTGTTTTTTAATGCCGATCGATAGTACTGATCCTTACGAGTCCAAAATGGTATAAAATTCAAAAATCGGACAGTATTTGAAAGGTTGACTTTAAAAACGAATCGTTTTTTGGTCCATAACTTTTTTTAACCCATCGATTTTTGAAATGTTTAAATGCCAATTGATAGTAGGGATCCGTACGAATTTAAAAAGGTATAACATTTAAAAATCAGACGTTATTTGCCCAAGATATTCAAAAAAAATCATCAAAAAAGTTTTGTTTTTTGAACCGACTTCGATTTTAAGAAAAATCGTGATGTAACTTTGCCATTTTGACGATCTTAGTGAAAATTTAGATTTTCTGTTTTTTAATGCCGATCGATAGTACTGATCCTTACGAGTCCAAAATGGTATAAAATTCAAAAATCGGACAGTATTTGGCCGAAATGTTCCAAGAAACCATCAAGAAAGGTTGACTTTACAAACGAATCGTTTTTTGGTCCATAACTTTTTTTTAAAACGAAACGTTTTTGGGGCCATAACTTTTTTTAAGTCGAAAATGGAATAAAATTCTAAAATCGGACATTATTTTTTTTTTTTGTCAAAATATATACAACCTTTATTTTAAATACATCTATTTGAAAACAAGAATGGGTAAATAAATATTTAATGCTGGCTTTAGAAACCTTTCCATTTTAAAATAAAAACTAAAAACAAATAGTTTAAATGTACTGGATGACTGTATAGATATCTATTTGTCTATTATATTAATTGATAATATTTTCTAATATTATATATATTTGAGACCTGTTCATTTTTGATTTATTATAAAGTCCAGAGTTAGTTTTCTAACGTTACTTTCACTCGACTTTGAAATACGCTCATTATTTAAATGGATTGCTGGCTGCATTGTTGGGCATTTGATCAGTAGATCAGTTTGGCTCAGCTTATCCCTTGTTCGCGTGACCCATAGGAGAGCAGTTTGCTTAGAAACAAAAGTCGATTTGATATACAACCAAAACTGCAAACTGGCTCAGCATATAAGCTAATTTTTATTTGAATTTTTATTTTCATTTTTATTTGGGCGTTAATACAAAATATTGGCAATCAATGCCGCAATGGCAAAACAAAAAGTAACTGTTTTACATTTGGCGGCATTCCGGTTCAGGTTTGGACTAATCCACACGCACCGTGGAGGTGGGGCTCGAACTGTGGTCTCGAAAATTTGCTATAAAAGTTGCGTTCGCGACATTTGGCGACATAGTTCAGCGCAGGAGCCTCAAGTGAAGTGATCCAACAAACAGCCCAATATCAAAACTTAATAACTCAAAACTAGACGCAAAATGTTCTCAGTGAGTTTTGCAACTGAAGTGCACTTTAAAAGAGATTTGGATTTCGATATATGTGATTTCATTTCCAATTCCAGCTAATGTCTGTGTTCGTTCTGGGCGTGGCTGCTGCCGCTGCCATTGAGCTGAGTCCAATTTACCATTCGCCAGCGACGCACCTTGTGAAGCCGCTGCTGAAGACCGTCGAGGTGGAGGCGCCGGCCCATTACGATTTCAGCTACTCGGTGCACGATGAGCACACCGGCGACATCAAGAGCCAGACGGAGTCCCGCAAGGGCGATCAGGTCCAGGGACAGTACACACTGATCGATGCCGATGGTTATCATCGCATCGTGGATTACACATCAGATGCCCACAACGGTTTCAATGCCGTCGTCCGCCGTGAACCCCTGGGCCACAAGATCGTTAAGGCTGCGCCCCTTGCCAAGATTGTGTCTCCATTGCCGCTGGCCTATGCGCAGCCCAAGCTCCTGGCTGCCCCTAAGCTGTCTTTGGGCCTGTACCAATAGGATCATGGATTACAGAACTGAAACCCAGAGAGAGGGAGAGAGAGAGAATCCAAACACTGATTTCATTGCATTGACGACCCATCTCAAACTGAACACTCAACTCAACTCAAAGCAACTTTAACTGTAACATTTTCTAGCCAGATCTTCAAACACTTTCCTGTCCTCACCTCTACTTTCACACATCTACGCGCATCAGTCCCTCTGCTAGGACTCTTTAAACACGATTTATATACGCACACGTTTCGTTATAAATCCGTGTTTCCTATGTATTATATATTACAAATATGTGAAAACAAACGCAATAAATGCATTTTTATAAATCAATTCTCAGATCTCTATACTCGACAGCTGTTAATGTAACAGCACTCCATTTGCTAACAGATATACAGCCTAACATGAACACGTTAACATAACAAAAGAATGTTATGTTGGACTTAACATAATTGGGATTTCTAATGGAGGATGGAACTAATAATAAATACCATTATTTTAAACACTGTAATTTCATTAGCAAGAAACATATGATATTGGATTGAATCCAATTTGAAATATTTTCTTTAAACTTTGATTATGCCTTCTATGATTTAAGGAAAATACCTTTTAAGAAATATTGAATATTACATTTTATATAGAAGTTGTATATATTTACGGGTAACGTTAAGGCTTGAATTAGATAAGACTTATATTTATTTTAGTTTAATCACTTTGAATCATATAAACTTATGGAGATAAATAAGGAATTTTTTTAATTTCCACTCTAAAAAATTATAATACCGTTAGAAAATTTTATTACACTGTTGGCCGAAACAAATTTCTCTATATTTCACACACAATTCCAACGCACTAAATCAAACACATTTTCATCGATCTAATATTAATTTGCTAAAATATTTGTTTATAACCATAACCCACCTTCGAAATAAAACAATAGTATAGAATTTGAACAGCCTTTTAATAGTAGTATGCAAATCTGGCATTATGATTGATATCTACATTTTTTGTTGCTCTAATGACGTCTGATAATGGAGATGGGTTCGCGTCGCACTTGCGCATTGAAGCCCAGCAATGGATCCGAGCTGTAGTCGACGATGCGACGGTGTCCATCGGGTTCGATCAGCGAGTAACGACCCGTAACGTATTCTCCACGTCGATGCTCGAACTGATCCTTCACATCGCCCGTATGGCTGTCGTGCACGGAATAATGAAACTCGTATTGAGCTGGGCTAGAGATGAGTTCATCTGGATGGCCGGCTAGGATGCCGCCCTCAGTGGCTGCAGCGCACAGGATCAAGCAAACAGTCAGACTGATACTCTGCAATAAATACATTAGAGCTATATATGGTAATAATAAAATGTTAAATAAATTGTAGGCCACATACCAAGACGTTCATTGTGCTTTCAGTTGAGCTTTAATTGCAAAGACGGCCTCACACGCAGCTGACGCAAAGCCGAGATCTAGTGAACTGATGGGAAACTGATCGCGATACCTTCCTTATATATATGCCCAGCCAACACATCTGGCTACACCTGGCCAAGTTATGAAGCTGAAACCGAATCCCCGACAGTGCAATCGCTTACGCAATCCCCGCGTCTCTCTGAAATCGCATCTCTGCAGCTTGCAGACATAAGGGAAATGTTATCTGATGCGTTTTGGCTTACATTTGAAGCATTTGAAAAAGACATAACAGAAAAGACTAAGACCGCATTAGAAAAACTTTTGGTATAATTTAATAAGTAGAATTTAAGGTCAGTTGGCAGAGCGCGTCGAGGGATTTCAAAATGCATAGCAAAGTTGCCATATTTGCAAAGTATTGCAAGGTGGCAGCACTGAAATTCAGCATAAAACCCGAATTCGCGTACTTTACGAATGATTAATTAAAGTAAAATTCAAGGTCAGTTGGTTGACCGGGTTAAGGGTTCAAAATACACAGCTAAGTTCGGTGCTGCCATATTTGCAAAGTATTGCAAGGTGGCAGCACTGAAATGCAGTCTCATCAACTATTTAACAGGTAAACTGAATGTTTGCCAATTTAACAGGCATGTTAAATAGTATTTTAAAAGAATTGAGAGCTAAACAATTTCTCAGTTAGACATAATTTATTTTCGACTTATAATAACCATTAACATTATATATTTCTTATGATGTTTACATATTTACGTCGTTTTTATCATTATCACAGCATTAAAATTAATGGATTTTATAAACACATCTAGTTTAGTTAAGACGTTGCGTAAATGTACACGATGAGTATCCTCTGTTTGGAGAAAACATAGAAAGGCGCGCGCTGCAATTAATTGGGTAGATTTAACACGAAACGAAGGTTCCAGAGTTTCAGGTACGACGACATAAACGAGTACTCGTATTCCCAATCCCACGATCAGTTCTTCAGTATCAAAACTTGTTCTCCAACAACGATCCTGTCATGTGAAAGATATCAATGAGAATTAGAAGCCGCATAGTTCCTTTTGCTTTTGCAATACAATTGATGTTAGTTTTTGTTTCCGAATTCCAAAAAGTGCACCCAATTAATGCATCGAATCGGTATTGGGTGCTCGCTAGATACGCTACTCTACGCTAGTTAATGGAGTGCATCCAACTTCTACGCTTGCTGATTACCCAAATTAAAGTTACCAGTCTCGGCGACCATCCAGGCGGTTAGTTTCTCGTCTTCCGTTTTGTTCGTCTCATCCCAGGGAAACGTAGCAGCCTTTTCCTTAAGTATTTTTTGTGCTCTGAAATTTATCAATTACAGATTTAGAATTTCGTTTGCAAAATGAGTCTGAATATCTGAAATATTCTTGTGGCTTTCTAATCTTTCTAATTAACATGCAAATTCGTGAAGTTAACTACACTTAATATTAAATTTTAAATCGATGGCAACAATCCAACAGGTTTTTGGCTCAAAATCCAGATTTACTAAACCCGAAAAACGATAACGAAAACAAAAAATTCCTTTCCAAATATCCAATATGAAGTTGCCTCCGGTGAGTATTCCCAATCTGAACGGGGTCAGTTTCGTGTCTTGTAATTATTATTTTTTTAATATTTAAGTTATTCCCCATAATGATTTTACTAATAGTTGGATTACATTATCGAAGCAATTAATACAAATCAACATTTACATAGCATGAGCTCATTATGGAAAAATTATTGAAATTTTACTCTATGTGTTTTTCATATTAAAGCTCATAACAGGGAGTACCCCTATTATTTAAATTAAGCTAAATATCATACTCTTTTAATTGGTAACAATAAGATAAATAAATATATGATGACAAAACTACATTCAAATAAATTTGGTCTATGAAAACAAAAATAATGTATTTACAATTTGTTACGAATGCAGATTTTTACCTTATGGGCCAAAAGCGACAATCTTCATCAATTGAGGAGTCGTTTTGGGTATCACTGAGGGGGGGAGGAAACGCACAAAATGTTCAGTGTTCAATGACAAGCAAATGAAAAGCCAAGGAAAACAACAGACAAAGTACATATAGAGATAGGAGTAGAGTACAGTAGACGACATAGACATTAAAAGAAGAAGCCAAAGATATGAAATTTCTGATGATCAAAGACCAAATACAATATGATTATGAATATTTGATTTGATTCGAATACAAATACACAGTCCATTCATGCCATGCCAAATGTGTCGCCGCTACTTACGGATTCGTGGACAGGGAATCTGTGCGGCTGCCATTGTTCGCCTCCAGGCTGTTGGGACTACGCTTTTTGGCGGCACGCTTGAAGTTCTCGCTGAAGAAGTCGCGTCCATTCTGGGAACTGGTCGTCGTTTGGCCACTTTTCGCCTGCTGCGTGGGCGGCACTGTGTGCGGATACTTGCCATCGCTGTCCGAGTCCATCGACAGATGTCCGAACAGATCCTCCAGCAGGATGTTCGACTTGGCATTGCGCTGACGTTTCGCCGACGTTTTCAGTTTCGAGCTGTGTCAATGGATGAAAGATATTCAAACTATTTACAAACACATCAGAGGCCACAAATTGCATCAAACAAGCTATGGATATAAATAGGAATTAAGTGCTCAAACATTTTAAACAATAGAATTGATTGACAACACAGACCAAACACAAATATACCCGATACGGCTGGGGACAAACCAAATTTACGAATACTTTTTTCTTTTAATCTGCAGAAATCTTATCGTGCCAGCAAAACTTGTATGAAAAGTTTTTTTATAATGTCTTTATCATTTTTCGATAAATAACATCTTAATGAATAATAATAATAACAATAAAATAATAATAATAATAATAATAATAAATAATAATAAAGTTATTTCACAATTTTTGCCAAAAACTTAATTGGTTTTAATGCCAAATATTTGATGATTTTTGTAATATCTCGAGTAAATTACATACAATTTCGGAAAAATGAAATAAATAATGTAAAATATATGATTCCTGCGTATTAATTGGTATTTAAAAAAATAAATTGTTGCCAAAAATGGGTCGGTTCAAATTTGTTTAACAGGCAGACGTATGCTTCTCCAACCCCATAAAGTATATATTATGAATGGGACCAAAATATGAAATATTGGAGAAAATCAATAAAGGGATCTAAATCGATATGCTTCAAATTATTTTAGTTGTTTTAACTATTGCATTAAATTGGTAAAGAAATGGGCCACCCACTAAAACACATTTTGAAACTTCGCGAAACTGTTGTACAGCAAAGTATTAATTTACCTAAGTATAAACGGATGTTTCTATTTGTTTTAAAAAAATGTAACCGATTTTCTTTAATTTGGACATTTCTTTGGACCCCGCTTCTTGTAATAACTTAGATTTTTAATGGGTTGCATTGAGCGAGGGCGCACTGTATTTTACTATTTGAATTGGAACTTTCATAAGGATCGAACTACAGGATAAACTATTTTCTCGAGCTCAAAGAAAGTAAGTCGACTATATATGCCTTGAAGATCATCTTCAGCAGATGTAGATTTGTCTACTTACCCGAGTATCAGATCCAGGTCGTCAGCTTTAAGCCTTGCCTCCGGCGGCGCTGCCTGCGAACGCGCCGACAGCCGGATGGCAGCTCCATTGAGCAAGGACGTCGGCTCGAAGGGATGCTGTGGCTGGTGCTGGTGCTGGCGCACGATAATGCTTGACGGCGCCGGGATGGCGCTCACCTTGGAGAACATATTATACACCTTGGCCTCGGGCTGCAGCAGGGCGGGCGCAGGTCGCGTCTGCACATAGTAGCCGCCCATGCCCGATGCCACTCGGCTGTTGTTTTTGGCATTCTTGTTGACCGTCTCGTAGCTCAACTGGCTGCCATTCACATAGATGGCGCCGCCATTGCGCGTCGACGTGTTGCTGAAGGATACATTGGGATGATGCTGCTGCTGCTGAGGTGGAGGTTGAGGTTGAGCTGGTAGGCCAAACAGCTGCGAAATGTTGCGATTCAGATAAATATCATTGATGGACTCTTTGCCCGGCTGCTGCTGCTGCCGCTGCTGCTGCTGCTGGGCCATGCCCAAGCCCAGACTGGATGCATCTGTGGGTGGGAGCACGCCCACTCCGACTCCGGACAAGTCATTGTTGGAGAGGAAACTCAGCTTGGGCTGATAATTATGGGGCATGCTCACATTTTTGCTCACTTGTCCATTGAACAGGGTCTTGCCATTGCTCTTCATGTTGTTGTTGCTGTTGTTGTTGTTGTTACTGTTGTTGTTGTTGTTGTTGCTCTGGTGTATGAGCTCAGTCACGGCCTGGAGCTTCTCCTGCACCGGAAGCACATTATTTGACACAGTGGGAGGTAGGACAGCATATTTGGAACTGAGCCTCACATTGGCCTTGGCAGCCGCCGTGGGCGAGATGCGCTTGAGCGCATGGAAATATGGATATTTGAGGCTCTGCTGAGCCGTTGGCCGTTTCTCGGGATCGTACGCCAGCAAATCCTCCAGCAAATCCAAACCGTTTTGGCTACAGCGGCTGACCACGCTGCCCAGTGGCACCTTAATGCAATCGGGATACCGGAAATGTATCATGGCCGCCAGTCGATAGCCATCCGGCCAGTCGCTCTGTTATTGGGAAAACCAAAAGCTAGCTCATAAATCTCTGAGGACATACGCACAAAAACCAACCTTGCCGGGCGTGCCCAGCACGGAGCAAATCTTAAAGAGCTGATCCACCTCGCTGCTGCCGGGAAAGAGCGGCCGGAACGTGTACAGCTCGGCCATGATGCAGCCCATGGCCCAGAGATCAATGGTGCTGCCATAGTTGGTCGAGTGCAGCAGCACCTCCGGCGCACGGTACCAGCGCGTGGACACATAATCCGTGAACGGCGGCCGGGAACGTATCTCTCGCGCCAGCCCAAAGTCCGCTATTTTGATCAGCTCCGGGCCCGAGCATAACAGATTCTCGGGCTTGAGATCGCGATGAAAGAAACCATGCCGATGCATAAAGGCCAGCCCCGTCAAGACCTGCAACAACAGAAGATGAATACATTTTAATTCTTATCCGTAATCCTTGACTTACCTGAAACAGAATACTCTTGAGCTCCGGTTCCGGTAAATGCGTGTCACGATCCTTGATCATTTGATATAGATTCTCCTTCATGTACTCAAACACAAAATACAACGTGTCGTTCTCTCTGATCACTTCCTTCAGCTTTACGATATTCGGATGCGATAGTTTCTTCAGAGACTGCAAAAACAAATCCGTAATTAACTCAATTGGGAATTTTAAGTGCATCAAATGCGAACCTTCACTTCGCGCAAATTCATAGCCTCCTCCCAGGAATAATATTTGCGCTTCATGCGCTTTATGGCCACCTTTTCGCCGGTGTCCTTACGCTGGCCCAGCACAACGGTGCCATACGTTCCATCGCCCAGTTGGGACAGTGTTATATAACGATTCATGGTACAATCAGCATGGGAGCGCCTTTTTACATATTTTCTATATGCGACTAGACCGGATCAACACTGAAAAACCAACGTTCAATACTATTTCGATTAAAAATTATTAGCGGGCATTGAACGGCTTTACCCGGGTAAAGGTTTCTGCTTCAAAATGTAGACATCACCTTTATCACCTTTTTTTACGCTCATGTGAAATGCACGTCGTATTCAAAAAGTTTTCAAAAAGTTGGGGTGGATTTCGAAAATCTTTGAAATACGTATGAAAGCTATCAAAATATGTAATATATTCCAAATATTCTTAAGCAAACCCTTGGCTGGATTGAAATCCAGGTGAAAGTAAATGTTCCTAAAGTTATTTGGAAATGAGTTTTAATCCCATCAAATGGTAAGCGAAAAAGTTTAATTTATCCGTTTTTCACATATATTCCATAGTTGAGGGTGGAATTTATGATAAATGAGTTTTGCATCAATCAGCAATCAGTCAGCCAGTTAATCAGTCGGACAAACAGTGTCGTTTATATATGAATATTAAATATGGAATCCCTGCACCATAAGAATATATAAACTTGATAATTATGTATATTAAATAAAAAATGAAATTAAATAAAAGCACAAGAATTGAATTATTTGTTACTGTATTTGTACTGTGTCTATAAATGTATATCCATATTGCTTAATTTTAAAATTTCCAAACTTAGGTTAAGATCAATTCAATATTTTAATCCTTCTGCTTAAAGTCCATGGGAAAATCGTGTTTGTTGATTAGTGAACGTGTCGACATACCAATGGGACTTGTTAAAAACACCATTAAAACAAATGCAATCACTTAAAATCGAATCAATTTTAGCTAAGTAACTGGCAATCAATTGGATTGGCTCAACTCGTGGACAGACAGGGCAGAGACCACATGTTGAGGGCATTTATTTGTTTCGGATGCAACCCAGTTGGATTTAATCAATATATTGATTAAGGGACAGAAGCATGAACTTTTTGGAGACTTGACCAATTTATTTTGATTGTTATACAAGCCTATCTATTGCCCCAAATATCAAGGTCATATGTTATTGTTTTCGGGCTACAAAACATTGGTTACTGATTAAAGGGATAACATTGTATTGAGCACAATGAAAATATAAATAAATGTGCACGGATACTTAGCGAGATATCATCATAATTAACGAATAATCACCCAGAGCTGGGCTTTCGTATTTAGAACCTAATTTAGTTAAATTGTATATAATTTTCAAATAAATTATTCCATTTGCTGCCCTTTTGAATGCATATGCATTTTTAACTTGACCTTTAAAATAACAAATGCAAATTTTCTTTTATTGAAGAAAATGCGATTCCCTTATTCAGAGTTCATACAGGGTGTCTCTTCTGGCTTTTACAAGGAAAAGGATTTGTGTAGAAAATTATTTTATCATGTTATCAGAATTTAAGAAATAAAGATTGGAATTATTTGAACTGGTAAAAACATGTAGTCAAATGCAACCGACTGCGAATTACTCTACATATCAAAAATGAAGGATATAATTTGACTTTTTTATTTCATTTTGCGAGGCCATTTTGCGAGGCTTGAGTATGTTTGGCATGATCTTAATAGGATTTAAGCATATATCATTTTTTCCACTTTATTAATCGTATCAAAATTCAGGAAAAGAGATATGCTTTTATCCAAATTTCAAGTATGTATAAAAATATACTTTTAATTTAGTAAAAAAATGTTACTTTAATCCTGTTTGTTTAATTTACGAACTATTTATGTCCAAAGATATATGATATATGCTATGAAGAAATATATATAATCAAACTAATACTCTTTTTTTTAATCCTCTATAACCTTTGGCTAGGACATCGAAGTCTCAGTAACCTTGGGATACCAATCCTTCTCCTCCCTTGAAAGTAGCCAATTGAGGTCAATGACAAAAATTTCCTTAAAAAAAATTAAATTTATGTGGATCCGTACACTGAATATATTCACCCAAGGAAGCACCCTGTATACAAGAATAAAAATACAGGCATGTACACAAGCTCGTCCCCATTTGGTATCACGTTTCCGAGACAATTAGAAGTTTCAAACGTTGGGCTTTTATTATTTATTCATAGCACCATGTCAAATTAGAAGACGGTTCGTTGAAAGTTCCAAGTCCAAATACACTCAAATAGGACATGTGTGTGGTTTTTGGAAGGGAAAGGGGAAAGGGGGAGGGGGAGGAGTCGGAGGTACCGAAACCAAGACTTGAGTCAGCACGGGCTTTTGTTTTGGCTTTGGCTCAAATATTGCGGCATAGCCTTGAAACACATTTAACATTTCGTTAAATAGAATTCTCCATATAACACGCACACCAATAAAACACATTTATTTACTATGATGAACCTTTCCAGCATATAGAATGTAGATTATATGTAAATAAAGGAAGTGCAACTTTAAGTAATTTCGGGGCTCATTTTATCGATTAACTTTAGTTAAAACAAACTGAATTGGACATCAGTTTCCAATCACAGAACTTATTAGCTTTACCTAGGGAGCACTCGAAATCGCGGCTGGAACGTGAATATATACGGGAATATGTTTTTATTGAAACCGTTTTTGATAGAGTTAGAAAATATTTATGTTGCGAAATTGAAGCAAGCTTATCTCAGTATCTATTGCGAGCAGAAGTTTATTTTAGAAGCAAACATGAACAACTACCAACTACGCCGATATCCACAACAACCGCAACCCTAACTAGACCAAGCGCCCCTCCCCCTCCCCGGGCCCGGTTGTCAACCAGAAAAAGGGCGCCGCGAGAGCGACGAGAGCCACGCACGAAGCTGAACGAATACGTGGAATCAATCGAGGACCCAATATACCGGCCAGACCCAACCGATTGCACCTGTTCAAGTCGCCAGGGTTGAATTTCTTTTATTTTTCGGCAACTAAGGAGCAGGACCACAACACGCACTCTCCTTGCGGGAGTAGCCTTCGGCTGGTAACTAGGCATGGTGCACTCATTGGCTCCGTATTTACCAAATTTGTTTGGGACATTAGCGGGTTGCCGGGGCAACGCAACAATTCGCCAGCCCGAACGTGGCCAGCTCCCGGCCGACATATGTTTAATAGCCATCGAGGGAAATGGATGAAGAGACGAGCACCAAAGATGGGCAAGCAAATAAAACGTTTCTCGAAGAGGTCAACTTTCCAGAGCCGGGCATCATTAATCTGGACATGATTAAGTCAGCCTATCTGGAGGAGGGACAGCGTGGCGAGACGCGTCGTTTGCATCAGCTGGAACCCGTGGTCCTGGAGCGCATCAAAACAATGCGGCTGGAGTACAAAAGTGAGTCGAATTTACAGCGGAAATTAACTTATTTATGAGAATTTAAACTATCCGAATATCACAGAATATTATTTATATTCAGATAATTACAAAATATTTAAGTTATCCGAATATCACAGAATATTATTTATATTCAGATAATTTTAGATGTGTTATCCGAATATCATAGAATCTTATTTACATTCAGATAATTACAAAATATTTAATTTATCCGAATATCACAGAATATTATTTATATTCAAATAATTATAAAATATTTAGATTATCCGAATATCACAGAATATTATTTATATTCATATAGTTACAAAATATTTAAGTTATCCGAATATCAGAGAATATTATTTATATACAGATAATTACAAAATATTTAAGTTATCCGAATATCACAGGATATTATTTATATTCAGATAATTACAAAATATTGAAAAAACAATATAACTTAGTAATCCGATTTCTTAGATTTATTTATTTACATAACCTTTAAAAGATAACCATAAAATGATTATTAATGGCACACATTATAATGCGCAAAATTCAGATATACTACGCATCGATCATCTGTGGGTTCTGCCGAACCTGACCAAGCTCTGTCTGAATTGCAACAAAATCGAGGTAATCGAGCACATTGGAATGCTGACTGCTCTGAAGGAGCTCAACCTGAGCTTTAACTATATAACCAAAATTGAGAAGCTGGAGACTTTGGTCAATCTGGAGGTATTATCTTTGTTTAGCAATCGCATAACGAAAATCGAAAACCTGGAGACACTAGATAAATTGGTCATACTGAGCATTGGCAACAATTTAATCGATGTTTTGGATGGCGTAAGTTAAAGATACCCTTAACAATTAATACCATATGCATTGTCCAGTTTAACTCCACAGATTGATCGCCTGCGCTTCGTTAATAGCTTGAGAGTACTTAACCTGGAAGGTAATCCCATTGCCAAGCTGCCGGACTTTCCGTTGTCCCAATATGTAACCGCAATATTGCCCCAATTGAATTACTATGAATACGTTTTCATCAAGGATGAATTGCGCGAAGCGGCTCAAAAGAGATTTTAGTAAGATATTTGAACCCGATTAGATATATTACAAATAATATATATTCCCCTCTTACAGTCGAGAACTGCGCGAAATCGAGGGCAAGCAGGAAAAGGAAATCCACGATCGGGAGACGAAGGCACGCGAACTCGCCGAGGCGGAACGTTTGTCTTCCAGTTTTGTAGAGCATCTGGATGGCCACCAGCTGTACGAGACCATGTGGCGAGGCGATGATGACGGCAGGGCTCTCATGTTAATTGGGCCAGGCGCACAAGAACTGGCTGAGGAGTACGAAAACGATGTATACGAGCTAACTCAGAAGATTTACAAACTGGGTCTGGAGCGCTTCAGCGAGCGCGATGCGGAAATTAAAGAGTTTCTGGGCAGTCTACTGGAAGGGCAACAGGAGCTGCAGTCGCTCGGTCAGCAACATATTGAAGAATTTATGCAATATAGGGATAAGATCTTTGAGGAAGCGAGCAACACTCTGCGTGAACTGGAGGCTGGCGATGAGGATGCGCCGGAACACTTGCAACTATGCGAAGCGATGGACGCGCTGAATGCGCAATTCGATGATGCGCTTAATGAGATGTGGAACCATCTAATGGCACAGGAGCTGCACCTGCACGAGGCAGTCGAGGTAAGTTTAACTGCATAGCTAAGCGTAAATGATGCAACACATAGTTTTCACAGGAGACCACGCTGAACTTTGAGCGCAGAATTTCACGCTTAATGGCCAGCTTCGTAGAGGAGGCACAAATCTACTTTCTCCAGCTGCGCGATGTTTGTGAGCACTTCGCGGACAACATGACCGACGCAGTGTCGCGTTTCATATCGCATAAGCTGGCGCTGCAAGATCTGGGTGCAGTGCCTCAAGAGCTGCGTATGTGCATCGATGATCGGGAGTCCCTCTTGCGGATTGTGGGCGACATGAAAGCCACGCACATATCACGTATTGAGGAGCGCGAGGATCGCATGGCCAGCCGAAGCAAGGAGTTCATAAACAGCTACGTCGAGAAGCTAAGCAAGTGAGTTCCAGGTCGTCTGATTGACAAGAATCTATTCTATTCAAACAAATTATATTGCAGAGAGGAAATGGAGCGACATCGTGCTAAAATATTGGAAATTAATTCGTTTATGGAGATGATGACAAAGGCCATGGCTAACCTACCTGAGGAGATTCACTCGGAATTGATTTTGGAGGAACAATAAAATTTGGAGCTACTCTGGTTTCAGCGCTGTTTAAAGTTGAGGTCCTAAAAAAATCCCTTCAATAAAGCATAACAATAATTCACTCTCTTAATGCAATTTAGTTGTTAGCCTTTTTCTTCGATGGTTATCAACTTGTTGATATGCTATCCATTGTGTTCATTCGCTTTTGATTATTGGAGTCAATTTCAAAGAACAAAGTTGCGTTTTCCTCTATAACGACTCTTCTAGGTATCACTTCTAACAAATTTAATATTTAAAAAGAATATAAAAGCATTTTCTTACAAAAACTAACAAACCCTAACCCTTTTAAATGCACAGTTTAACACAGTAAGTTTCAGTTGAAATATAAGTTCACTTTCTGTTCTTGCTCTTGAGCTTAGCAAGATACTCTTCTAAGCCCTGCTGAAACAATGGCGTATTTATATATTCCAATGATTCGCGTAATTGACCCTCCGGATCGTTAATCAATAGCTGCACATCTGGCGCACGAAACTGTCGCTTGGTCAGTGCTCTGGCCTCCGGTTGCGTTTTCTCAAAGCTGCCAATGAATTCAGCACATTTGCAGAGAGCTTCTGACTTGCTTTCGGCGACTTCATCGATGAGATTCACTTGCAATGCTTCTTCGGTGGTAAAGAGCTTGCCTTGCAGCAGCGCTCGTTCAGCGATGCGACGCGGCAGGACACTCAGATAGGACATCACTATAAACGGTGGCACCACATAGCCAAATTTCGTGGCATGGATGCCAATGCTGAAGCCCGGCAACATGACGCGGTACTCGCAAGCTGCAGCCAACACACAACCAACGGCAATTGCGTGACCCTGTGTTGAGAGAGAAGGGTACCACATTATCCATTATCTGATCATTCAAATTGAACTTACATTGATGGCCGCTGCTGTAGGAACACTGCTTTGGTATAGGGATAGCCACAGGTCCTGCAGCGTTGACCAGAATGCCACCAGACGCTCTTGGTTCGGTTTATGCAATTCATTGAGATCCAGTCCGGAGGAGAATACTTTATCGTTGGACTGTTAAACAACAAGAATATATATCACCCTTGCTGTCGTCTGTCAACTATCTTACCGATGTCAGTATTAGGCCACGACTTTTGTTACATTCGATCTGCTTAATGGACTCGTGTAGTTCCTGCAGCAGCTCCAAATTGAAACTGTTTACCGGGGGTCGGTTCAATGTCAGCGTCGCAATGCCCGTCTTGTCGTCTATTTCCACCACGGTGAGATTGGATGCTTTTGTCATGGATCTGTGCAGGCGAGGCAATTGGCGCCAGCCCAAATCCATGAGTTTTGTTTGGCTACGCAGCATTTTGTGGACTGTTGATCACATGATAAAAAGCAGATAAGGTCATTAATTTTAACACTTTAATTACTTTAATCATTCCGTCACAACATTGCTGTTATTGGTGTTCAGCGCTTGTGACGTCACTGTTAATAAAACGCACTCCACATCTACTACGTACCATGTGTGGATCGTTCAGTAAGAAGAAGAAACAAAACTTGTTCTATTCCCTCGTTTCAACGCAACTCAGCGGAGTTAAAAACCCAGCCATACATATAAGCCCAATGCAAACTTACAGATACAACTTTTAAATGACATATAAACATATTTAAAATATATTGTGTGTATAAAAACAGTATATGAGAATTTCTAAAAATTCAAAGGCAACGAATTCAATTCTTGGCCTTCTTTTTTAGACTTTCCAGATATATGCCCAACCCTTTTTGCACAGCCGGTTGGTTTACAAAGAACAGAAACCTTTCCAAATCCTGGGCACGTTCATTTTCCAACTGTTGCAATTCAACAGCCCTCAGCTGTTGTTTGGTTAGCGAACGAGCCAGCGGATTAACTTTGGCAAATGTGCCAATAAACTGGGCACACTTGTCCAAGGCCTGATCTTTGCTAATGGCAACTTCGTCGATCAGGCCAATTTTCAGGGCTTCCTCTGTGGTAAACATGCGTCCCTGGTTGAGTGCACGCTCAGCTTCACGTCGGGGCAGAACGCTTAGGAAGGATGACATAAACCATTTTGGTGCGACAATTCCAAGTTTAGTTTCGTTCAGGCCAATTGTGAATTTTGGCAGCATAACGCGATACTCGCAAGATGTGGCCAATAAACAACCTCCTGCCGGGGAATGGCCCTGTCGAAAAATTGGCATATTAATTAGAATGTTCTAAAGTGATGTTACGCTATTTACGTTAATGGCAGCTGCTGTTGGTACACTGCTGCCATAGAGGGCCAACCAGACGTCCTGCAGAGCAGTCCAAAATGCTCGAATTCGCTCCTTGTCTGGCTTATACATCTCAAGTATGTCCAAACCAGCGGAGAATATGGTGGGATTTGACTAAAAATTAATGAATAAAGTTGATGAGTAAATCATGATAGATCAAGGATTCTGCTTACCGATGTCAATATTAGGCCACGACTTTTATTGCCCTCTACTTCCTCGATCGATTGATGCAGATCGCGTAGCAAATCCAAGTTAAGACCATTTACGGGCGGCCGGTTCATTGTGAGGGTAGCGATGCCAGTTTTATCATCAACTGCCACAGTGGTCAGCTTTGTGGCAGTGGACATATGCCTGCACACACCTGTGGCACGGGGCACCAGGCACAACACCTTTGAACGCATCATTCTTAAAAAAATTAATTTCAAAGATGTCAAAATCTTAAAATGACCTTTGGACGCGGATCTATATCAAGGAATTTTGATAAGATTAGCATATTTAATAATGGAAAACAATATTATTTTGACTCCAATTTAATTATTTAACATAAGCGGTAAGTAGGTAAGTTACTAAACAAATTAAAATCTTAAATTAAGTCACCTTAATATTCAAATTGTTAACTAAAACAGCTGTTACAGAACCTGTTGCACTTTTATTGTTTTTGATTATTCGATTATTTACAACGATTGTGCCAGGGCTGAAGGATTTGAACTGCTTCATTATGGTTCAAATTACTGATACAATGCAAGTCACATTTTAATATTTAAAGGGCTCTATATTTAATTGTAGAAGGATTAGAATTCAGTAATGAGTTTTTTTTTAAACTTAAACTAAAGTTACTAAACAGTAGGCAATATTTAAGCAACTAAAACTAAAGATACTAAACAGTAGGCAATAAGCATTGAATAATTGCATGAACCAGTTCACCAAGTGTAGACTGGCCAAGTTCATATCGCGGAGCAACTTTGTTTTTTGACATTTACTTTACACGTCACTACGCCGCAGCTGTCACTTTGCCGATTCGACTGCCTTCGTGTACGCTTTACTCTTATTCTTCGTTCGCCTGGCTACGTTGCTGTAACTTTCACTAGCGCGTTTCACACAAAACACACGCACGTAAAAATGGGCTCTGGCAAGCAACAGAAAGTGCAATCATCTGGTTTCACCAAGGAGGAGGAGCTGCTGCTGCAGGACTTCAGTCGCAATGTCACCACGAAATCGGCGACAATCTTTTACGGCAACGCTTTCATCGTCTCCGCGCTGCCCATATGTAAGTGCCCTGTGAATAGTGACACGTTGTTGATTTTCCCAAGTTGCCCGCTAACCGAATGCTGACGCCTTTTAGGGCTCTTCTGGCGCATCCACAACATGGACCTGTGGCCCAGCTCCATTTTGTTTGTGTTGGTGACTGCAGCTAGCACCTATTTGATGGCCACCGCCTACAAGAACATCAAGTTCCAGCTGAAGCACAAGATTGCCGGACGTCGTGAGGAGGCTGTTACCCGCGAGGTCAACCGTCAGCTGGGCGATGACAAGAAGGTCACGCGCAAGGAGAAGGACGAACGCATCCTGTGGAAGAAGAACGAGGTTGCCGACTATGAAGCGACCACATACTCGATTTTCTATAACAATGCCCTCTACCTGGCCATCATCATCTTCATCAGCTTCTTCCTGCTGAAGAATGCCACGCCATTTGTCAACTACATCTTCTCCATTGGCGTGGCCAGCGGTGTCCTGGCGTTGTTCTCCACCAGCGCCCAAACGAACTGAACAATTTCATGTACTCGTATTGTTAGGCCCATTAAGAGATTCTTACGTTAAAGTGCGAGCAACAGATTCCATTTATCACACTCGCATCTTGTCTTGATGTAAACATTTTAGCTATTTCGAAAATACAAATTTGATAATGAAATGTTGTCTTTCTTGTAGAAAGATTTAAAAACACTTCCATTTGCAAAATGTTTAAATAAATTTGTAAAACCCAAAACAGAAGAAAACTATTTCTAATCAGTTCTTAATTTTATATATTTCAATCAAAACGCCTAATCTTATCGTAAATGCTGAACTTGCTCGCCTCAAACGGCCTCGAGCAGCAGGGCGATGCCCTGACCACCGCCAATGCAAGCGGAACCGATGCCATACTTGAGCTTCTTGCGCCTGCGAAGAGTAGAGGAGAGAAATCAATACATGAATGGAGTTCGCAACTGGAGCAGCTTGTCTACTTACTGCAACTCGTGCACCAGATGGCCCGTTATGCGGGAGCCACTGGCGCCCAATGGATGACCCAAAGCAATGGCACCGCCGTTCACATTCAGTTTGCTTTGATCCAGCTTCAGCGCATCGGCACAGGCCAGAGTTTGTGCGGCAAAGGCTTCGTTAATCTGCAAAGCGTGCAATTAAGACCCAACTATAACTATGTACGCAAATAGAGATTTACCTCGATGAGGTCAATGTCCTCCAGTTTCTTGCCGGATACCCTGAGCACGTTTTGTATGGCAGGCACTGGTCCAATGCCCATAATCTCGGGCTTGACGCCCACAAACGAGAAGGCAACGAGACGTGCCAGCGGCTTCAGATTGTACTCCTTGAGTGCCTCCTCGGAGGCAACAATCACAGCGGCAGCGCCATCACAAATGCCGGATGCTGTGCCCGCGGTGACGACACCGTTCTTCTTGAACAGCGACGGCAGCTTGTTCAGGCCCTCGATGGTGGTCTTGGGACGTGGATGCTCATCGATCACAAAGTCAACCTCCTTGCCCTTGACCTTCAGTTTGATGGGCGTAATTTCGGCATTGAAGGCGCCCTCTTGCTGTCCCTTTTCCCAGTTCTTTTGCGAACGCAGCGAAAACTCATCCACGCGCTCCCTGGAAATCTTGTACTGATCCGCCAGATTTTCGGCTGTCAGCGCCATGGGCAGCTTGCAGTGTGTATCGGTCAGACCCGCCCACAGGGCATCCTCCAGATTGTAGTTGGCGCCCAGTGTGGTGCCAAAGCGCATGTTGCGCGCGATGAACGGAGTCTGCGACATGCTCTCCACGCCGCCGGTGAGCGCCACCTTGGCACCGCCCACCAAAATGTCCTGGGCACCATTCACAATCGACTGGAAGCCCGAGCCGCAGAGACGATTGACGCCCAACGCTGGCTTCTCAATGGGAACGCCGCAGTTGAGTCCGACATGGCGAGGCACGTAGATGCCATCTGTGGACGAGGACTGCAAATAAATTGATAATAAATTAATATAAAAATATAGTTTTTAATTATGTACGAACAATCAAAAGTGCTCTAAATATTTTTAAAACTTATATTAAATAGAGAAAATGTAATGCAAGCAATTTACTTGATTTAATATAAAAAGGGCTAATAAAAATAATATATTTATTGAGCTTTAATAAAATAATAAAAAAAAAATATAGTATTTAAATATGAATAAACAATCCAAGTGTTTTTAATATTTTTAACACTCTTATTAAAAAGAGAAGATTTGATGCAAGTACTTTACTTAATTTAATATAAAAAGGGTTAATAAAATAATATATTTATTGAGCTTTAATAAATGAATAAAAAAAATATAGTATTAATTTATGTACTAACAATCCAAGAGTTTTTAATATATTCTAAACTTGTATTAAAAATAGAAAAGCAATCTACTTGATTTAATATAAAAAGGGTTATAAAAAATAGTATATATATATATATATATTGAGCTTTAATATTAATAAATCTCAAAAAATCTGCTTTTGCAGCGAAAAAATGGGATTTTTAAGCGCATTCATTCTCATGTGTAACAATTAATTAATTTAAATTAATTTTTCTTTTTGAGCTTTAAAGTTCAAACGAAACTGAAAAAAAAATACAAATGAATAAAAAAAATATTAAAAATAAATTATTTAAAAATGATATATTAAAAAAACTTCAAAATTATTAGATCGCAAGATATATGATACATATATATATATATATATAAATATAATATAAAACATATATTGTTAAAGCACAAAAAGTATAAATGGAAAATTGTTTTGGAGCATTTACGTCTTATCAGTTTTAATAAATGTTAATTACAAAAGTTTACATTTATATTTATTAGTTGCAAAAAATCAATGACGTAAAAAAGTATTGAAAAGACTCTAATAGAAATTAATTTAATTATAGAACACAAAATACGCTTGCTAATCTTCATATATAGTATTTAAATAAATGAGCAGAATTCCTCTTACTTTCTTTAGACCTTTCTCCAGTTAGCTAAGCTAACCGGGCGAAAAGTCCAGAGTCCAAGTCCGTGAGCACACTTACCGCAATCACATTGCCCACGATGACGGTGTCCACCTGCTCGCCCTTCAGACCGGCTGCATCCAGCGCCGCCTTGGCAGCTGTCGTCTGCAGCTGGGTCTGGTTGATGTTCTTCAGGGCGCCACCGAAGGTTCCAAAGGCCGTGCGCTTGGCAGCCACAATATATATGCCTAGACAGCAATTAAATATGTTTTCGTATATGTGAGATATGAAGATTATTTAAATTGGGAATTGTTAACGAAGGCGAATCTTGTCAATTCGCTCAACAGGTCCAAAGTGCAGACGCTCCCCTTGCCGGTGCCCAGTTTATGCTGGGCGGGCGGGCGAGGGGGGTCCAAGGGGCCGCCGGGCAGCAGATAACACAGCAACAAGTCCAAAGTTCACATTTAACATATCAAAAACAAAAACTCTTGATGCCCATTCCCACGGAAAACAAAAAATACGCAACTCATGTACCTTTTGTTACGGCGGACATTTTGCACAAATTGCACTTGTTGCGACAGTCGAGTAAACGGATAAGAAATTGTAATTAATATATGAAAAGCGACTGAAACTCTTTTGCTCCGTGTAAGAACCGCTGGCCACAAACGCTCGACGTCAACTCGAAATCAAACTTGCGGCCGGCCGACATTTTGTAGAGCGTAAAAGCTCCGCCTCCGTCGCGTTGCAGAGCTTTTTGGCGGCAGAAAAGCCAAACAAACAAACTAACAGCTGTTTAATGCACAGTGCGAAATATTTGTAGCCTTTTTCTAGCTAAATTAGCTTGTAAAGACGTATTATCTATATATTAATGCATATCTATATATTTGTTTTAACCCTATTGATAATATAATTTAAAATAATATTATCTCTTAGCTATAATTATATTGGTGCAATCGAATGATCGTTAACCTATTTAATCTCTTTAGGGTGACTGATTTGCGATTTATAGAAGAGAAACTTATTTTTTATTATTTTTTTGTTACGTACATAAGCATGCAGGTATCCGAAGCTTTGGAGAATTCCGCCAACTAATGTGAAAAATGGGTGACAAGCGCTCGAAAGCAATGTAAAAATGAATTAAAGTCGGTGCAAAAATAATGGGACACTTATTTATTTTTTGAAATTCAGAATTGAACCCATATAAGAGTAAATTAATCAATACGTGCTTGGTGTTTGTAAGATAATCTCTTTTTAAAGGATCTGAGTATCTCCACTTTAAATATTCACAATTTTTATCGGAACAGCCAAAAATGTACTTAAAACAACCAACCCGTATAACATAATTTGTATGATCTGGTGGGGAGTTAGCTCTCACATTTTGGGAGTGCTTTAAGATTAGCCCTGAAATAAAGAGTCGTTAGATTGTTAACTTAGGCTAGAGTTGTATATTCAATATTTTTACTTAAATAAACATACATGTGTAAATGCTGGACTTTGAATTAAACTTTATACTTGGAACTAGGACAGAGGAGCGCAATACAAGTAGAAATTGGCATTGATATTGATAAAATAGCAAAAGTAATGTTAGTTTTTAATTGTTTTGTATTTCTTATCAAATTATGTTCATATTAAACGATCTCGTTCATCTCTATGGTGAGTTGGATATATCCATGTTGTCCGACTTCTCAATGCTGACCGATTTGCGGCCCTTCGCCTCGATATCCTCGGAAATGGGTTTCAGTTTGCGTGTGTCCGGTGTGCGCGAACGTCGTCGGGAGGACGTTGACGAGGACTTGCTTGAAATTGTGGCAACATCTTTGCTCCGGCTGGAGCGCGACTTGCTGATCGGAGGTGGCGGCGACGGGGAGCTGCGTTTGCTGCGTGACCGTGGCGAACGGACGCGATGCGACTTCTTGCTGCGCTCACGGGATCTGGAGCGCTTGCCGTTGCCGCTGCCAACGCTAACAACGCCACTGCCACCGGCTCCTGCAACTCCATGCGAGCGTGAGCGATTTGTGCTTGAAGTGCTGCGACGATGTCGAGATCTGGAGCGCTTGCCGCGCGACCTTGACGAACGCGAATGCTTGCCGCCACGTGAGCGTGAGCGGCGCGAGCGTGAGCTGCTGCGACGATGACGCGATCGCGAGCGTTTGCTGCGCGACCTTGAGGAGTGTTTGCCGCGGGAGCGCGAGCGTCGGGACCTGGAAACGCTGCGTCGCTCGCGAGTGCCCGAGCGTCGGCGCCGACGTGAGCTGGAGCGATGCGAACGGGATCGACTGGCGGTGTGTCGCTCTCGGGAACGCGAGTGTGAGCGAGAACGTCGTCGCTTGTCCTTGGCCAGCATGCCAATAACGGGATCTATGGCGGCCGATATCATGCTCTGTGCTTCCTTGACAATCGTCATGGCCTCCTCAATTTCGGCCTGGGCTGCTTCATTCGACTTGGCCTCGGGCTTCGTTATGGAGTAGGTCGAATGGTAGACACTCAAATGGCCGCCCTTGAACTCCTGGCCCTGCAGGCGCAGCGCATGTATAACGCTCGTCTGCTCACAGAACTCGATCATGCAGTACGTCTTGTTATCCTTCTCGGCCCAGCGCGCGTATTTGACCTCGCCGGCACGTTGGAAGCACTCCATTAGATCGTCGAGGCGCCACTCGTTACGCACATCGCACACAATTATAGTGCGCCGGATTTCTTCTATCTTGCGCGCATCGTAGAAGGAGGGCAGCGCTGGATATTCGGGCAGATTGAACTCCACTAGCTTGGGATCGTACGTCTTGATGACCTGCTGCGGCAGCTGACCCTCAATGCGATTAATTACCTCCGGCGGCAGTTTGGAGTCTGGTTTCTGCAAGCCCGGCACAATGGTGCCATTCTTAAGCATCTCCAGTGCACGATACTCCTCGGGTATGGCCAACACCGGGATTACAATGAGCGCCCGGTCTATGAAAACGGTATTGGTCAAGTGCTGGGCCACGGGCACGCTGCTCGTCTCCGTGTATTTCACGTAACAGATGCGCGACTGTACCGGGCAGGAGACATCCCGTATGGTGGGGTACAGTCGAATCTCCTCGATTTTGCCAATGTTGCCGAACAACGTTTGCATCTGATCCTTGGTGGCCTGCGGCGCAATATTGGTCACCTGTATAACACGCGGTGTGTTGCCGCCAGCCATGTTTGATGGTTCACTTTCGTTAACAAACTTAAGAAAATTTGTTTTAGTTTTTTTAGCAAAAAACAAATACTCAATTAACCTCTCTAGCGCAAGTGGAAAAAATTCGACAAGGGCTGCACAGGGCGTCGCGAAAATCTCGATTGGCCCACAGGGCTAACGCACCGATAACAGTTTCGCGTCGCGAACGCACATCGTTATCGATTGCGATTGGCATCGGTATGCAACTGCGAGTACTGATTATTTGTGTGAATTGTGAATGCAAAAGTTGTAGGAAAATTTTTTTACAGTATATGTTAAATTGTACATTAATTGCAATTATTATTTCTAAATAAAACGTCAACAACTGTTTACAATTCGGCTCGCCCCAGACATGTCGGAAAGCCAAGCGCCATCTGTCTCAAAATCTAGTTTGAACGATTTGCGACAGTTTCGCATAAATAAAAATGCAGCTGCCGCAGCTGCTAGCCTGGGCAGAACTGGTAGGCATTGTGTATATTATTCCATTGACGGATGCTGCATTTAACAATACAACTGTGTTGCATTTCAGAGCGTGTGCCTGGCAAGAAGCGCATCCAGGTGATGGCCGACAGTGACAGCGACAGCGCAGACTGTCAAACGCCAAAAAAGCCTAAACTTGTGTTGACCGTCAAGGAAAAAGAAGAGCGTTATATGGCGGCCGCAAAAATAATGCCAAACTACGATACGATGGTAAGTGGAACGTTTGCCATGGTTATATTTTTTCATTTTTTTTTGACGCGGGGTGCGGGGAGCATAGCGCGCGCGTCGCTTACATGTGTTCGGAATATGGCGATTCGTGCCCGGCATTGTGAACAGCTGTTGACACAGTGGCGTCGCAGGCAAGGGGTGCTAAGGAAATTATAGGTCAGGATTTCGATTGGCGCAAAAAGTCCTTTTCAAATGAAAAACACATGCTTAGTATGTGTATCCTTATTTTTTACATAAATGCTATATATTTTATTATAAGCAATATTTATTATTAGAAAACTTTTGTTTAAAGTGTTTTCCTTTTTTTTTTTTAACTGTAGTTAGTAAGTAGTTACTCTTTTAACATTTTGCTAATTAGTTAATATATATTTTAGGCAATTCAAGACTCGCTGGCTCGATCCAATTGGGACGTTGCAGCGGCAATACGTTATCTGAAGGAAAACTGTAAGCCCAAAGCGCAAAATGGACCCTTGGATAAGGCCAAACTGAAGCCCAGCACGAATGGTAGTGGGGCCAAGGCGCATGGCAAGTCGAGTGGCAACTACTCGGACTACGACAACTCGGATGATGATGATGTCAAGCAGTCTAAGGATCAGGTGTACGACAGCGACGACAGTGACACCGAAATGTCCACCAAAATGACCGGACAGCGCAAGAAGGTGTTCCAATTCATGAACACGGCCAGCATCATTGAGCTGCAATCGGTGAAGACGCTGTCGGAGAAGAAGGCAACAGTACTTATTGAGATACGACCATTCAACGACTGGGCGGATTTGCGACAGAAACTGGAAGCCAACCGGCTATCGGCGGATCTACTTAATTACGCACAGGATCTGATCAACAAACAGAACACGGTTGCAACCATTTTAAGCAAATGCAATGGAATGGTGCAACGCCTGGAAACGGCCATTGCTAATGGTGCCGGCATTGTGGAGCAGCCAAAGATTCTAAGCAGCAAGTGGGTGTCCAATCCTATAAGCTTTTTCATATGTCTCATAGATAATTCAATTGTGATAGGGTGATCTGATCTCTCAGTCCCAGAACTTTTTTGATGCAATTTAGATTCTTCTTTTTGCTACATTCAATCAGTTAAAAATAAGGATGAATCTAGCTAAACCAAGTCCTACTTTTAATCATTAGTAATCATTTCTTTAATCCTATTTCGGATCTGTTACAGTTTGCAGTTGGCCGACTACCAAGTAATAGGCCTTAATTGGCTCACTGTGATGCATAAGCAGGAAATGAATGGCATTTTGGCGGACGAGATGGGTCTGGGCAAGACCATACAGGTAATTGCGTTTCTGGCTTATCTTAAGGAGAACGGCCTCAGCAAGGGAGCACACTTAATCGTGGTGCCTTCGTCAACGCTGGACAATTGGGAGGCTGAAATGGCCAAATGGTGTCCCAGTCTGGTAGTCGAAAAGTATCACGGCTCTCAGGACGAGCGGCGAAGGATGCGCGTACGCTTCGCCAAGGATGGCTTTACCGGCTTTGATGTTCTTCTTACCACGTAAGCGATTGCAGTTCCAAGTCTATCACGCCGTTGCTTTATCTGTACCTTGCCAGCTACCATATAGTTGGATCCACGCCCGAGGAGCGAAAGATGTTCCGCGTTTGCAAGCTGCATTATGTCATCTTCGATGAGGCCCACATGCTGAAGAACATGACGACTCAGCGCTACGTCAATCTGATCACAATTAATGCAGAAATGCGCATTCTGCTTACGGGCACGCCACTGCAGAATAATCTGCTTGAGTTGATCTCGTTGCTGTGCTTTGTGATGCCCAAGTTTTTTGCAAAGAGCATTGAGGACATCAAGTCTTTGTTCGTCAAGGTGCGTGTCAAGTGTAGTTTTAAGTATAACTTTTTTTATATCACGTTTTTGATATCTTGTAGAAGAACAAAACCGATGGCGATCAAGAGGAAGTGTCACAGTTCCAGGAGACACAAGTGCAACGCGCCAAACGCATTATGAAGCCATTTGTGCTCAGACGTCTTAAAAAGGATGTGCTGAACAATTTACCCAAAAAACACAGCTGTGTGGTAAGCATTCTTAGCAGAGTATAGGAATTCATTTATACTTTTAAATAACTTATATATATTTGTTTGCTTCTTTAGGAAAAAGTTCCAATGAGCGCCTCGCAAAAGCAATACTATAAAGAGTTGGTGGAATATTATTCAAACAACAAGGGCGAGATCTGCGGCAGCAGCGATCGTGCCGGTGTGGCAATTATGATGGAAATGCGACGCATGGCCAATCATCCGCTGCTAATGCGTCACTATTTCTCAGACGAGCAGTTGCGGGGCTTTTCCAAGCGCCTGGCGCGCTGCAATTCCTACAAGAAAACCAACGAGCAGTACATATTCGAGGAATTGGCAATTATGTCCGATTTTCAAGTCTATCAGCTGTGCAACAAATATGTAAGTCGCGCGAAAGCAAGTTTATAAATATATATATATATATATATGTCTAACGAACGCATTTCCTTTCAGGAACTGTATGATGTCAAGATTCCGGATAGTTTGATATGTGATTCGGGAAAATTTCTCTATCTGGATACCCTGTTGCCCAAACTGAAGGCAGAAGGACATCGTGTGCTGCTCTTCAGTCAGTTTACCATGATGCTGGACGTTGTGGAAGAATATTTAAGGATACGGAAGCATGGTTTTTGTCGATTGGACGGTGCCACGGCTGTCAAAGAACGACAGGATCTGATCACAGACTTCAATGTCGATGACAATATATTTGTATTTCTGTTATCCACCAAAGCCGGCGGCGTGGGCATCAATTTAACCGCAGCGGATACCTGCATCATTCACGACATTGATTTTAATCCCTACAATGACAAACAGGCTGAGGATCGCTGCCATCGCATGGGACAGAGTCGTCCAGTTACCATATACCGTTTAATATCGGAGAGCACCATTGAGGAGGGCATTTTGATGGCTGCCGAAGAGAAGCTAAAACTAGAAAAGGATATTACATCCACCGAGAAGGGCGAGGTGCACGAACAGCGCTGCGTAGTCAAATTGTTAACCATGGCGTTGGGCCTGGACAAGGATGAGGAGGAGCAATTGAACAACTCATTGAATAACTCCTTGGGAGCAACTACAAAGTAGTCTGTTAAAACAGCCGCTTTAGCGACACACTTTCCATTTTCCAAGAACACTATTTTTTGTAGCGTTTCATTTACTTTTTTTAAATGTATACTTAAATTATTGGCGGGCAATTCGCTCATATCATTTGCGTGTATTTATAAGAATCAATATTGTATTAAATTATATATTAAAATATATTCAAATTTAAGCTCAGATTTTGGCTATTCGAAATGGGTTCTAAAGATGAATGCGTTAATTGGAGTGCTTCAAAGGAAAAGTTATTCTCAAGCAAAAAGTTTTTCATAGTTTTGTTTAATAATTATTGAATTGAAGATAAATAAAATACTAATAAGTAATATTTAAGCAGCTCAGAAATAAGAAATATAATTTGGAAATTTTTTTTTGACAAAAATTGTTTTTAGGCTGCTTGCTTTTCTAGCAGATCCGTTGCGAATATCCCTAGCACATACTTTTACTGATTTTGGCTGTAGAAAAGCTTAAAGATTTGTCCATATTAACTGTAGAAATCAGAAATAATAAGTAGATACAAATATTTGAATTATTCTAAAATATGCATACAATGGGCTTTCAGGAATTAAATAATTGTCTAACAATGGACGAAGTCAATTAAAATACTACTTTTGATTTATGTGCTCATACGCTGACAAATACTTTTGAATCATCCAGTTTAGCGCAACAAAACCAACTCGACAACCCTCAAACGAGAGAGGGACGCTCTTTCTTACTCTCTCGCTCTCTCTCTCTGTCTCTTGCTCTCAATGCGTACTCTTTGGGCGAGATAACATGCAGAGTGTTTTGAAGAGCTTTTCGGTGCGGCGGCGATTCATCAAGTTTTAGTCTTTAACTGATCGCTCGCGCCGATGATTTAATTTTTAAGTTTAAACGCTGATTTTGTACCACAGAGAAAATAATATAAAACCCTGCGTCAAGTGTAGCAAACAAAACGATAATCACATTACCATATACATATACATATATCTACATATATGTGCGAATCAATAAATTTGAACAATTTGCAATATTAAAATAGAACAAAAACGAACAAATTTAGCGCAACGAAAGGAAACGCCTGTAATAAATGCAGTAAAAATCGAAAGTTTTATGTGATCTAAAATCATATATATATTGTCTACCATATATATACATACGTGTGTATTTATATGAGAATGTGCAGCAGAGTTGGTAAATTCTATTTTGCTCTAACGACTCGTCGTTCGCTATTATGTGATTCATATTGAGTACATACATAAGTTTTTGGGCGTTCAGAAGACAAGCCGAATTATATATTTATAAATAGCAGAGCGCTCGCCAAACGGAAATCATATTGGTCCAATACAAAATACTTAGTCACACACAATACGAATAAAT